CGATATAAAAATTAATATAAATTGTATTAATCTAAACTAATGAATAATTCATAAAAGATTTTACTTTGTGTCCCTTAACTTAAACTTATGGCTTTGTCCCTGCCCGTATCATTATTTTTTTTTTTTTAATTCCCCCAAGATATTGGGCTCTGTCCCCTGAGATAACATGGATTTAATTAATATAGCAAATCAAGCATGACTTTCAGTTAACTAACAGCAAAGTACAGTGTTGGACAGGCTGATTTTTAGTGGTAAACTGGTAATGTAAATACCTTTGCTGGAAAATTAACATAAAAATATCAAAGCACAAGCTTAAGAAACTTAACATAAAAAGATCAAAGCACAGTTCAGAAATAACATAAATAAAACAGAACACATAAAAGACATAAAAGACAGACTTATGTAAAGACTAAACTCCAAGTTTTAGTCCCTGTAAACCTCTCAATATCTTCTTTTTTACTTCACATAAAAGCAATAATATGGAAGGCGAAAAGTGTAGCCCATGGCCATTCAGAATCAAGCTCACAATGGATCATTTGCGGTGGGATAGCCTCAAGATTTCGCCCTTAAAGGAATTTGAGGAACAGATTATATCAATCCTTGAGGAAGATAACCGGAAAGCACTAGATGCAGGCAGGCCTATTCAGGTACAGATATATGATATTGATACAAATGAAACACATGAGGTCAATTTGGTAAAGAAGCAGGCCTTTTGGTTTGAACCCTTTCCTGATATTGGGCAGAAACCAGAAAAGAGAAAGGGAGAAGAGTTTGCTTATTCTCTTGAACCATTCAAGCATATTGCAAAGAAAAGAGATCTCAGTCGTGGAATGGAGATTGGTTTTCGCCAGTCTGATGCCAAAACCAGCAACAAACTTGAATTCCCAATTTTATATGCAGCCAAGTTGCACTTGAGGAGTTGGGAGGTAAGCAGAACATACTAACACAGAAAATGATTAGTTACCACTTGGTTTAATACATTTTTTTACTTGGTTTAATACATTTTTTTACACTTATTCAATTTAATTATTAAAATATAATATAAATACAATTTAATTTAATCAATTCTTATATTATATATGTATGATTATATTTTTAAATTTATTTATCTTTAACATTATAAAAAAATAATTTTTTAGTAAATATATTATATAATATATTAAATCAAAATATGTATCAAACAATGTTTTATTAACATATATACAAAGTTTTCATCTTTTTGACACATAAAATTGTTCAATCATTTGACAAATCCAAATTATAATTGCTCAATCATTTGACAATGCCAAATTATGACCTTTTTTATAGGATGCTGCAGGAAAAGAAAGAACCCAACCCAAACTGTCTGGGTTAAAAAGTGAAGAGAAACTGAGTTTTGCTTATTGCAGGAGGCTGTTGGGTCATGAAAGGTGCTAAAGAGGGAAAAACAAAGTAGTCGCTGCCATATTTTGTTTTTGGCCTTTCAAATATTTTCCCTCCCTGTTTAGTACAGATATGCCCTGCTCTCCGTATGAAATATATACCAACCTAGTTTCAAGATGGGAAGAGCATTCGCTTCATAATGGCTAATAGTGGCATGAGGTTCTTGTTGATATTTGAAATATTGTATTTATTGCTTTTTTTAATGTGATGGGCTGGAATATTCTTTACATTTTGGATTTAATAAAATTTGCATTTAAAAAGAAAGGTATAGATATGTCCGGATGAGATGTACAAGAAGGTTCTTTTTTTTTTTTTTTTTATTTGCAGAGTGTAGGGTGCTTTTCTCTTACCTTTTGTGGGGTGATGGAATAAATGGGCACATTCATTCAATTAATGTTAAAAAATATAAATTTAGATGTTTTAATTTAGTTTTTTTTATTTTTTATTTTTCTGAAATATTAAACATTATTGTTTCAACTTTATCTCTCTTACTTTAGTCTATTTATGATAATAAAAAGTTTTATTAAGGATAAATGGCTTTTTTTTGGGTACATATAAATGTGTTATTTTAACACTTCATTATGGAGTTTTTTTTTTTTTTGAACAAATTTTGCAAGGGACGGGTTTCGAACCCTGTCCGGAGGAAGGAGGGAATGCATCGGTGGCTAAAGCCACTAGGTCTCAAGGGCTAGGTGCCTTCATTATGGAGTTTTAGCTTAAATTGTAACTAATTTTTAAATTGTATAAATTAAATATAAAGTTAAAAAAGTAAGAATTAAAATAGAATGAAAAGAATAATTAATAAAGGAGGACTAACAACAGTCCGGTGCTCTTAAGGAAGTGGAGTTGTAGGTAAATTTTTTTTTCTAATCATATTTGCTAAAGGATAGTACAAAATTTGGACCACTTCAATGGATCAAATGGTTCACCATCAAGTTTAAGAGCTTGAGTTCAAGTGATCGAAAGTTCAATTCTCATAAATTACTTATAAACTTATGCTCTCTCTTCAAATTTCTCATGTTTAAAAAAATAAAAAAGAAAATACAAAATTTAGAAAGAAATTAAGAAAAATTTAGTCATTTCTAAGAGTCAAACTTATAATCTTGACCGTTCATAACCTCAATAGCATATTTTAAAAGAAAAATAAAATAAAATTGGACAATTCTATAGAGCCTACACCAATAGCAAGACAAGTAATATGGATTCAATCTTTGGATTTATTTTTGATTCACAAAGAGCTGTATGAGATGAAAATATCCTGAAAAGCCTTAAAAAAATGAAAAATATCATTTGTGGTTTCAGAATAGCGATGGAGATAACTATGTTATTATTGACTATGATTATCTACTAGTTTAAATACAATAATTGATGTAGTTGAGATGTAGTCAAAATATGGGTGGTTGGTATTTGTGTTGTCAACTTATTGGGTTTATAGTTTTTCTAATTTCTTCCCTAGCAGAATGTGAGAGATTATCTTTTGATTAATCAAAAGTATAGGATGAATTCAGGGTGTTTTTAGAGCTAGTATATGTATATTTTGGGAGTAATTGTTCTTAAAATAATTTTAAAAGTGTTTTATGTGCTTTTAAGAATATATTTGTACATTAATATGGTACATTTAAGGAATTTAATCCAAAACCACACTTAAAAAACTACAAATTTATCAATTGATCCCACTCTTAGTGTTGAGTTGAGTTCCCATCAACCACATTAGGACTTTAATTGAGCACAATAAAATTTTAGGATTTAATTATAAATTTGATTTAAGTTTGGGACTTATACACTACTTTACCTTACGTTTAACGCAGTTACAGTTAATTATAAGGATATATATGAAATTTCAAAAGTAGAATGCAATGAATTTGGATTTGTTCATTAAAAAAAATTTGGATTTAAATGAAAAAAATAGATTAACTTATGGGTGTGATTAGTCAAAATTTCGGTTTTTGTAGTGGCCATAAAAAAAATAAAATTAAATAAGAAATTTAAAAATGAGAAAAGCTCATCGATAATTATATGTTTGATTTAATAAAAATAGAGTGAAAAGAAAGAATGATATTATTATTAAAC